GGCACTAGACCCAACTGGGTCTAGAATACAGTTCTCCTGACTGCTACCCAGTTGATTTCTCTGCTGTATCCCAGTGCTCCTTCAAAAAAGAGAACAGGATACCCAGCTTCGCTTAATATGCCAATAAAGTGTATGCTGAGTGTCTACAAGGCACTGTGGGCACCATGCGAGGTGCTGGGGAAGTGTGAAATGGATGGGATCTAGCTTAGCTGCAGAGGGATGTACCTTCAAGCTAGTCAAATGCTTGCTGCAGTCCTGCTGCCATGCAGTTTCCTGCAAAGCAAAGAACCCCCTCCCTGGCTCCCTTCATGCCCTGTGGGCGCCCGAGGAAGCTCATCAAAACTTCAGGGCCTGCTGCGTGCTTTTCAAAAGAGGCTGAACTCAAAAGCTGGTGGGATTTGATTTTTATTTTTTTAAAATTCACCTCCCTGTCCTCTACCTGCTCTGTACCCTCCTGCTCACCAGCAAACCAATAACCCAAGTCAGAAAATTGCAACAGCTTGAATTGCATGAAGTAACATTTGAAGGCTCCTTTTAGGTGGGTTCTTCCCCAGGATGTGTGCAACTGCAACCCCAAATTACACCTTTTCTATTGCCTCGTGCCTTCTGTGGCATCTCTCGGATGAACATTATCACTGAGCTACACTTATTTTCTTAGAAAAAAGAAAGACCTAGGGTGTATTGAATACCTACATGTGCTACACGACGTTTTAGCCATTTCCTCAACATTACCTCTTTTAACCCCTCTTAAAGATGGATGACAAAGGCAATATCATTTTTCCACGAGACAGATGAGAACTAAGGCCCAGAGATAATGAGTAATTTGGCTGCCAAATTCCTCTGCCACCACTGATAAGTGGCAGAGCAGGACATCAAATCTAAGACTGTCCCACTTCCAAAGTTCTCACCTTCCGGCTGTGGCCCCAGCTTAAACCCCAGTTAAGAAAACAGTTTCATTTCAACAAACAACAAAAACACCTATGTGGGGAGGAATGCCGGCATGTGAAAACTGGTGTTCTTGGTCAAACTGCGTTTGCATCTAGGATTAGGTCCTAGAAAAAGGTGCAAATTTTAGTGTGCGTAGAACTACCCAGAAGGTGCATCTAAAAATTGACTGGAAAAAAAAAGTGGGGGCCCCATATCCAGAGGTACCAACTTCTTAGGAATGGGTGGGCCTAAGATTTACAGCTGTAAGAAGCAACTCCCGTAACTTTGGGTCAAGTCTTTAAGCTATTCTTTGAAGTCTGGGTCCTGGTCCTGGGTGTGATGCAATTGTACTGTGTGACTTTGAGCACCATCATTTATCTCCGGTCCCTCATCTGTAAAAGCCGGGAGGAAGGCTGAATGAAGTGTGTTTTCTTCATTGCCTGCATTGAAGCGTATTACGTGCCTTGTGTCATAAAATGACCCCCCCAAACCCGATGAAGGGTGGATATTATCATTGCCTCAGCTTTAGAAATGGCAGGAATGGAGGTTGTGAGTGCATGAGTGGCTTGAGCAAGAGCTCACAGACCGATTCTAATCAGAGCCAGTGATGAAGTCACAGTATTAAGCTGGCCGTTTCCCCGGGATTCAGTGTTCCAGGGTAGCGCTGGACGAAGGAACAGGTCAGGTTCAAAGACTCATTTTGATTAGGAGAGTCCACTGGGCTTGAGTGGGGGTGATTTTCGTGGAGGGTTTTCAACAAAAACTGCCAGGCGTGGGCTGGCCGAGTGGCGCGATGGTTAAGAACTGGCTTGGGATGCCAGAGGGCCCCGGTTCGGATCCCACATGTGAGGGCCAGTGACACTGCCCTCCACAGCTAAGATGCTGAACAACAGCTCAACCTGGAACTGGGCTGCTGTGAGTCGCCGGCGACGGCGTAGGCTGCAGCCCCTGTGGCAGTGGGTTGCCATGGGCTACCGTGTGTAGCCAGCAGCCAGCGTGAGCAGCCAGCAGCCACAGTGAGCGGCTGTCCAGAAGCCGGCGACTGATCTGCCTCGCCTGGGAAGAGCGCAATGATGGTGCCAAGTTGGGCCAGTGAAGCAAAGTCCTCCACAACTAGACTGAAGAACAAAACGACAGCAACTTGTCTGTTCCCCTTCTCCCAATTCCCCAGTGCTGTTCCCATCCCCCAATTCCCCAATAAAAATCTTTAAAAACAAAACAAAATAAAAAAAAAACTGCCAGGTGTTCCCAGGGTTCGGCATGCGTGGATCAACAGGAATGACCACTAGGGGGCGACATGCATGGGAAACCTCAGGGAGCGATCAGTAACTAGTTCAAAGAGGTGTATGATCTGTTGGCCATTTCCTGTCCTGGCAGATAACTGCTCCCCTCCAAAGTGAGTTACAGTCCATGTCGGTAAAGCAAGACAGTTGTACCTTCAGGGACCTTGTCTTTTCCCCTTCGCAGCCACCCCCTCTTTACCCATCCCTCCCAGGTGACACCCACCCCTCTGCCTACTCCATTCATGCCCTATATTCCCACAGTGGGTTCCCAGTAACATTTGTGTGACCGGATGTTAAGATATTAACCGGTTTTCCTGAAAAGAGATCGGTGTCAAAAGCACTTGGAAAATGACGGCTTATACAGAGCTTGACAGTTTTTGTGACCACGAGATTTTTCAGAGCCTTTCATTTGCTCACCGGCTAATAACAGTAATAATACCAGTAATAGTCTTCCTGTATTTATCATTTTATCACAGTGCTTGCCAAGCACTGTGACATGTATTGTACGTGGTATCTCCTCTCGTTCTTACAACCACCTAGGAGGTAGGTGATGAGCGTTGTCTCCATTTTGCAGACCAAAAAATAGAGGCTCAGAGTGGCTGGATGACTTGCTGAAGGTAATAATAATCCCAAATGATGGGGCCATGATTGGAACCCCGGTGTGTGTGAGGCTGAGCCCGTCACACAATGCTTCCATTTCCCTTTCAACCCTTTCAAGAAGGACGCGGGGTGTGGGAGGTGGGGGCCGTGCAAAGCCCCCTGCCTTGCTGTCATGCCTCGGTGAGGCTCAGAGTGGAGTGGAGAATAGCAGGGGAGGACCAGTGACCCCTGGGGAGCCAGGCTTGGCTCTTGCCCAGGCAAGGCAGGATAAATAAAGGCACATTTAGCAGGACAGGTGAAATCAGCCCCATTTGGGTAGAAACACAGCGTCCAAGCCCTTGCTTCTGACCCGGCCTGAAATAGTTTCGAAATGCATCAGACAACAAGAGCCTGGTGAAGGACAGAGATGCTGGCTGCCTCCAAAGCTATCACGGGAATCATAATGGCTTTGTTTTTCACCGGGGAGGGGAAAAAAAAAAAGTTTATGCCTCAAATTAGTAGGTCTGTCATGTTCCAAATTGTTTGCATTTCCAAAAATGGACATTGACATGTGAACAGTTATTATCTAAAGCAAGACCCAAAAATCTGCTCTCTCAAGGCAACAACTGTGTATAGTCCAGGGGTCCTCATTAGACTCATGGGTCTAAAGCTCTCCCCCGGTATGAGATACAGTGTGGCCCCCTTCCCTACCCTCTCCCCGCTCTAGAGCTCAGGTCAAATTCCCTCTTCAGAACACTCAGAAAGTTACCTGGAGACCTAATCGAACGGTCTTGGTTTTCCCAGCAAAATTTCTCTGCTACAGTGGTTTTCAAAGCGTGGTCCCCAGACGAGCAACATCAGTACCACCTCGGGACCTGTTAGCAATTCAGCCCCTCGGGGCACCCACCCAAGGCCCATGATCAGAACCTCTGTCGTGGGGCCCAGGAATCTGGGTTTTAGCACCCCTGCAAGGGACGCTGACACAGGCTCAAGGGGCTCCAATGTGAGATCAGTGCTGGGCGCACGCCCCCCCCCACACACGCATGTGCTGTGCAGTTTCTTATTCGCCCTCCCCTCCACTGTCTTCTCTCCACCCTCTCCCCACACCAGTTCAGGTCACCACCCACCTGGATGACAGCAAGAGACTCCCATGGGTGTCACCAGAGCCAGTCCACTCTCCCCTGAGAACTACTCCTTGAGGATGCAGACATGGTCATGCTAGCATCCTGCCTAGAGCCCTGCCATGTCTTCTAATTTGCCCCAGTTCAAGGTCACTGAAGAGTTCGACCTTCACCTCCTTGGGTGAGCTACATTCCCCCACCACCAATCCCACAAAGCACCAGGAGTGGAGAAAGAAGAGAGCCGAGTTTTTGGTTTATTCTGAAAAGAGCTGTCCCCGTCACACTCCAGTGGGAAGTGACATAGGAATTAGAGTCAGACAGACATGGGTTCAAATTGCAGCCCTGCCACTCAGCAGCTCTGTGACTAGACAAGCGAGACGGCCTCATCTGGACACCCCCATGTCCTCGTGTCTAATAGGGAATAACAACGCCGACACCACTGGGTCATCGGACATTTAAGTAACATGATGCAGAGGGCCCGGCACTGTCTGGCACATAGTAGGGAGGTAACAAGTTATAGCTCCTCCTGGTCCAGCCACCCAGCTGGGTCACTCAGACTCAAGGCGACCAGCTCCTTAACTTTTGATGCAACCTCAGGAAGCTGAAAATGGCAGTCCGTTCCACAAAAGCTTAATCATTCCCAAGACCCTGAACCAATAATCTGACAGTGTCTCTCTCCCCCGTAAGTTTTTTTTTGACCCCTATATTAATATACCTTGTGTTTTACCGTTTTGCTTGTACAGCTTTCTGAGAAAAAGCAACATTTCCTGGAAGCCTTACCTGGGATGGTTTCTGAGAGTGACATTTTCCTTCCGGCAATGACTATTGAGAAGCTAGGAGCAGTAGTTCTTCAACAATAGCCTCCAGCATGGACACGCCACACCAGGCCCACATGTACATGTGCGCATGCGTGTACACACACACACACACACACACACACACACAGAGCTTAGATGGACTTGTAAGTTCACCAACGCGACACACGTGTGCACTGGGTCACACACAAACACCAGGACTCTCTGTGCCATCACCGATTAATGTCAAATCCGACAACACCTGGACGAAAGAGCTAGAAAAAGCCATACGGTACCTTTCGGTGACTTAAGTGTTGCCACTGCCCAGTCACTATCAGAACTTCCTAAAAAAATAATAATCAAGAGTTGCTGATCTGTTTTGCAAACACCCAGGTGCTGCTGGCGGCCCCAGCTGCAGCCTCCAAGGGGGACGGGTCTTGGGGGACCTGGGGAACAGGGCAAGGGACCAAATGTGCATGTGCACACCTCTTTCTGCCAGGCTCAGAAGCAGTTTCAAGACAACATTCAACAGGGGATCAAAAGAAGTCTGCTGCAAAAGGCCTAGGTGTTTTCAGCGATGTGAAGGGAGAGAGGGTTCTTTGGCAGTGACTAGCTCTAAGCTTCCAACCTCTAAGAAAGAAAGGAAAAGCTGTTATATGAGGCCACTTTGGCTAATGACAATGCTGTTGACAAGAGAGAAGTTTTGATCCTGTTTTGCTACAAACCCTCTCCTGGAAAGGGTGTGTATGTGTGTGTTGGGGGCGGGGGGAGGAGGTGCATCATTAGCTCCAAATTCAAAGTTGGGATGCACTCTGCTGACTGCAGCTTTATGTGCTGGGTGGCAGGCCCTGAGGGGTAAGGACTGCCCTAGCACATAGTCTGTGTTTGAAAACTATTGTTGAATGAATGAATGAATTCAAGTTTCTCCACGGGAGTCACTTTTCCTAAGGCACAGAAATTCCCCTCAAAACTAAGCTGGTTACCCGAGAATCCCATCATGCCTGGAATTCTGGCTATAAATCAGTGTTTCCAAATTGAATTCCGTTTCAGATACACTGAATGAGCCCTGGGGGACTCTCACATTGTTAGCAGAACCCCACGGGGACCTCTTTCAGAAAGTGAAGGACGACGATGGCTGCACACGCTGCCCTGTCCTTGGTAGGCCTTCTCTGTGAGACTGGGTTTTACCCAAAGCCAGGCAAACCTTCCCATGCGTCTGTGCGGCCCATTGGCTGCCGGCCTGACCAATCAGCGTGCGCTACCAGCTCCCCCTTTCTTTCATAGGGTTCTACCAGGAAAGGCCAAGTCCTCAACATTTGTGCACCATTTCCAGCGATGGAACAGGCTGCCAGCTAGCTGCGAGGAGAGGCGGGCAACAGTGTGTCATCTGAATGATTGCAGAGCACAGATCAGGCTCCATTTAAACATTTCTGGCTGGCCTCTGAGGCTTGCCAAAGGACACTCAAATTGCCACATCCCCCCGTGGACATGAACTCGACAGCCTCCTCACTCCCAGCAGAGGGGAAATCGGAGTGACAGGAGAAGAGTGACGAAGTTAAAATTAACGGGACCCACCCAGGATGACTTGTTTCTGCTCCCTCTGAGCCGGTCATTGATATCTGGAAATAGTGATAAGGCGCCAGATCTTCCCGTGTGGGTGGACATAAGCCTGACTGAGTCAGTCACTGACCCCAAGGAAGCCACCTCAACCCCAAGTCAAACCCATCACTGTTTGCCTTGAAGGCAAACCACGCTGTGGTCACCTCTGTCGCCACTAAGACAGGGCTTAGCTCTGGCGAGGCAGTAGCAGCCACTGCTGCATCAATCTATTGCTGATTAGGGCACTTCATCGGATGGCACGCAGGCTACCAAAAGTATGGTGAAGGCTTCACGATGCACTTGTGGGCACGAGTGGACATTAGATAAATATTAATTGGGTGAAAAAAATAAATTTTTATTCAAAGAGGATGGGCCTAAGGCATGGAGAGGAAGGGGACATCAGGGAACCTCCTGGGAGATGAGCATATTTCTGATCCTTACTGGGATGGTGGTTACCCGAGTGTATGCATATTTCAACAATTACACTATTATAAAATTATGATCTGTGTATTTCACTATATGTAAATATACTTCGACTACAGTACACCTTAAATACGTTATACCTCAACTATACTCAGCATCAAGGGGAAACTTGAACCTTCAAACTAAGAAAAACAACTAATGCCTTATTAAGTCCTCCCCTACAAGAAGAGAGAATGGACCTCCTTAAATTTTTTTTTTTTTTTTTGCCTGGTTATATCCTTCTGATGCCAGGAATTGCTCTCTGGAAGACAGCATCATTTCGGAGCAAGAACATAGGCTTCTGACTCAGGCAATCCTGAATATGATTCTTGTCTCTGCCATTTACTAAGAGTGTGACTTTGGGGACTCTACTTAACTATGCTGAGCCTCAGTTTCCCCATCTGCAAAACACTGGTACTACTACCTCCCTCAGAGCTGTACTGCTTGGGAGCTCAATGATACTAGCTCCCTTTCTGCCACAATGTAAATAAGTAAACTAGTAGAGGTCAACTTGTGGCTGAGGCCCTTCTGTATCTCTCAGGCTTCTCACACGTGACTCCTACAGAAAGAGTGAGGAAGGAAGGGCCTGCCGTGTCTCGTCTATTTTGCTGTGGTTTTAAAAAGTGCCACTGGAATATGTAACATGGTTCTGGCAAAACCGTCCATCTTCTGTCAAACAGCAACAGAGACCGTGTTTTCTTGTTAAGATGTTGAATGAAAAATAAAAGCAGCACGGCGTGTGCCGGTGCATTTTATCTCCCTCACCAGGTAACCAGAGTGACACTGAAGCACCTAAGGCTCTGTGGTCGGGGACCTTTGGCAGCCGAGGATGTCAACACTGAAATCCCTGGAGGAAACACAAGACTGGGGCCAATGGGACAGAAATGCCAGGGTGGGGCCAATTCTCTGTTTGCAAAGCCCACCGGGAATTACAGAAAACGGTGGTCGTTTTCCAGTTCTGGGGGCAGGAGTCACCCCGGTCTGAACTATCCGGTGAGCCTTACAGATATTTGACAGACGCCTCTTGTCTTGTAAACAATGACATCTGGGGAACCACGAAGTGGGTTCTAACATGGTGACCACCCCTCACCCAGGTGGCTTGGGCCAGAGAACTCGCGTGCTGAGCTGAACTTTCAGGTGACATTTTGGCTCTGTCTATCAAAAGACACAGTTCTTGACTTGAATCTCGGTGGAAATATGCCTAACATGCTGGAACCCACATTTCCGACTTAGTAAGGAGCGTTAATTGATTGAAACAGAATCTGTCTTGGACAGGTTGTAGTAGCGTTTCCTCGGGACATGGATCTTTGTTGTCCAGGCTACAGAGCGGGAGCGAGGAGAGGTTTGGGCTGCCTCTGGGCCGGTCCTTTGGACGGCTCAGAAAAGTCATCAGCTGTTGGCTTGTTTTGTGAGATTCCCAGAGTGAGTTCACGTCCGTGCATGTCTTTCCCAACCAAATGGAGTGCAGGCTAGGGACCTAACTCTCTATTTCCTTCAAAATGAAATCTGGGCAATTGCATGTTAATCAAGGTAGCAGTGCATGTTGGGAATTCAAGGGAAGATACAAGCAACAGACCACTCTGGTCTGGAGGCTTTCACGTGTGGCAGGCTTTGCGGAGGGCAGACTATAGACTGGTTAAGCACTTTTTGGGCATGATATCATCGAATCTGTCCAACAGACCATGAGCCGTGTATTTTTATTATCTCCATCTTGCAGATGGGGAAACTGAAACCCGATGAGCTAATTTCTGTAATTAGTAATTAATAAGTAATTTCTGTAGTTACTTGATAAATGTCTGAGCTACGTCTGAAACTCAGTCCCGAGCAATTGCAGAGGCCTTGCCATCTTGCTGATCATCTGATGCTCCTGACATGAGGTGGTGCCTATCACATGGCATTATTCACTGGTCTGACAGATATGGGTTGAGAGCACTTATTATGTTCCCTGCATGGTGCTGGATGTGAGGAATACATTGATGAATGGGACAGATTTGGTTCATGCCTCAGTGGGACCTACAATCAAGGGACGCCAGATTAAATGTTTGGGGAATGAATGAGTGAATGAATGAATGACTCAACCAATCAATCAAAACAATGATAAGTCAGTCCCATAACTCATTCTTGTACAGAGTCCAATGAGGTTTAGCCTCTGACATTTCCCGAGCCTGAATCTTTTGCTGATGACTGGGCAGTAAACCCCTTGGGGACAGATACCACTCTGTAGTCCCATGCTATATATACAAGCAGATGTTACGTGCCCAAATTCCTGAACTGTAAGGAGAAAAGAGCTCTCTTTAAACATGAATGAGTGCGATTTCAACAAGCAAACTAAACTAAAATAACATAAAATAAAATAAAAAAAGGAACAACCAACTGTTACTGCCCTGTCCTCCCCAGAGTTGGAACTGAAAGGATGGGACAATTTAACGGCCCACAGGTATTCTAATAACTAGAATGAGTGGAATTGTTTCAACTTCCAATCTTAAAATTAGAAAGAAACTTAGAGACCATATAATTTAGCTTCCTCATTTTTTTACATGAAGAAACTGGGCTTAGAGAATTTCAGTGACTGGCCCAAACCCACCTGGTATCCTGGATATTAAAGCCACTAAGAGAAATGGATAGGAATTTTTAAACTTGGCAGTTAACCTTACAAGCTGTCCAAGCCTCCCCTTATTGACTGCACTGAAAATTTTAGAAAGTGAGTCTGGTTATCAGAGGTTGCCAAGTTTTCCACAGCAAACCATTTTTCAAACACCTTCTCTCCTGGGTGGCAACGATTTCATTAATAAAATGCATTCCATCATTCACATGACGGTCACATTATGCCTTAATAAAGAGCCCTTGAAAGAACATTTATTATGGGATTCGCATGTCATTTGTTCAGGCAGATGCTGGACTCCTGAGTAACCCCTTGGGTCAGGCAGTTCATCAGTTGGTCCCTTTACTGAGCCTCCATTCACTAGAGATTCACAAGACCATGTGGGATGAAGCTAAATCCTGCATCCTTCTAGTAGAAGGATGGAGAAGAAGAGGGCAGATCAACCATATCCAGGATTGCGGAGTGTTCCCCAAGTGAGATCATTCAGAGATTTTAGAAGATATAGGGGTGCTCGCTTCCCACTAAGCTATCCTTTGTATCTTTTCAGAGACAAGCTCATTCATTCATTCAACAAACATTTCAGGAGTTCCCCCTTTGTGGAAGGAAGCGTTACTCCAGGAGCGTCAAATCGATTTTCATATTGGAAATTTAATTCCACATGCACTGCAGACATTTGCTATGCACGGGGGGCCCTGCACACATGCTGGAGCGACTCAAGGAACTCTGAAAATATCCATCCATCAGTTACCCGAAGAGCTACTGGGTGTGTTGTGGGGGGAGGGGCGAGACACTGGGCCTAAGTTGAACAAATGAGATGTTTAGGGTAATGTGACCAGTTCAAAAAGAAAAAGACGTCTGGACCAATCATTTTATAGCGCCCGAAGAAGAATCAAGTATACCAGCAGACGCTATTTATTACTTCAAAGCAAGGCTCAGAGAGAGAGGCAGGCCACCAAATACTGTATGAAGCCTTCCACAGTTACAATGGCACAGATGCCCTGACTCGTTCTCTCCTAGGCAACAGCCTTCGTCCCTTCCTAGAGATACTTGCATTGATCTGAACATGCCTAAGATGCAGCTGCTATGCCAACATGCAATACGGAAGAGGGGAATCTGCGGCCATGGGGTGTGGATGAGGGTGGAGGTAGGTGTAGAGAGCCAACATCACACACGGGGGACTGGTATGGAAGGTCTCAGGAAGCTTCGGGTTTAAAAAAGCTTGTGTCAGTCAGCACAGCCCGTGTCCTTGGTATTATAGATGTGGCTCAACCCTGCTTTGAATGATTCCATCTGGGTGTCCAAGGAGCTCGGGGAACATGAATTCCCAAAGACAGACTCCTGGGTCACCCACTTCCTAAGCTCCTAGTGTGCGCCCGGCTCACTGCTGGGCACTGAGATGGCTGTGCTGCGAATCTGACGCTTGTGGGTTGACCTTGGCGGCCACAAGCATCACAGACACATGATAGTGTCTGTGCTCTGGTTTCTGGTGTGAGCTCATCATGGAATTAGGATATTTCGTACCCAAAGTGATCAGCAAATGTCTCCCACTCTATCCCTAAGGAGGGGCTTGGCGGGAGAGGGAAGAAAAGAGGATGAGAAGCTGATAATAAAAGAAGCATAGGGTCTGAGAGTCTCCTGCCTGCCCAGAGTCTGACTTCCCTTGGCTGTTGCTTTCATCCAACAGAACTCTGCTGTGAGTCCATTGTTCAGAAGCCTGGGTCACTGACACACTCCCACAAGGATGCGTGCAGGGAATGGACTGAAGGAAACCAGGGCTGGGGGAGGGTAGTCGCGGGAGCACAGGCTCCACAGTGATAAAGGCATGGGTGCAAACCACAGCTCTGTCGCCCACGCCCACAGGTGGCTTGATGTGGGGCGAGTTCAACGAGCTTCCTGGAGTCTCCGTTTCTTCATCTGAAAATGGGGACAATCATTGTGCCTTCCTTTTGGGTCACGGTGAGAAAGTGAGATGGCGCCCAGTGCCATGCCTGGCACTTCAAGAATTCCAGGCTGCCCACCTCATGAATATTCACATCCTGAAGGGCAGAAGCCTTCTGGGACAGGAATGGTATGCTTCGCTGACTTCTCAGAGATGGGTGACTATGTGGATGACGAATGTCATCCCCTAAAGGGCATGGCATTCAGACACTGAATGTCCTGGATTCTGTGCCTAGGTGCCCTGCGGATTCACCAGGGCAGGTGGTGGATGATAAAGGGTCTGAGGTGTCACCGGGACCCAATGAGCATACAGCTCCTCCTCCCCAGGAGACAGCCCCCACATGGACCCCTCACCTGCCCACCCTGCCGCACACGCACGGTAGGACTTGATCTGGGTGAGAGAGAAGCAGCTGAGCGGCTCTGGACCTAAGGAGACTGCATCCCGTGTAGTGAGACCCAGAATAGTTACATGATAGATAGATAGATAGATAGATAGATAGATAGATAGATAGATAGATAGATGATAGAAAGACAGAAGAGAAATGGAAAGAGGTAAAGATTTTGAGATAGATATAGATAGATGAAGAAAGAGAATTTAGACAAATAGAAAAAGGGGTAGAGAAAACTGGAGAGAGATCTGGAAGGAATAGAGGAGAGAGAGTATAAACTGAAAGGCACTTACCGACTGCCTTCAAGGAGGCGTACTTGTTGAGCTCCTTGCCAGGAGGCTGCTGTTCATAGGGGTTGCAGATCTGGCCCAGGTTGGGGTACGAGTGTGGGTGGCCCATCTGCTGCAGCAGAGGCGAGGTGGGCACTGCATTGTTCATCTGGGTGGGGTCTGGAAGTGAAGCCACAGAGGGAGATGGTCACAGACAGCACAGGACCTGCTAGCCGCACCCACCATTGCCACATCCGTCAAACCCAAAACTCCTGTGGGAACACGAGAGGAGGCATGGCAGCGGATGTGCAGACACATCAGGGACCACCAAACACAGTCTTCACTGGGGAGCAGCTGAGGACAGGGGGGCGAAGGGTGTGCCCAGAACTTCTCCACCTCCCCTCGAAATTACCACAGGGTCCTATCATTGGAGGGACTATTTTTGTCCTCGAAACAATAGATGGATGATTAGCTTCAGGAATAGTCAAGGAGATGCAAGTCAGGACAACAACGAGAAGCTATTCCTTTTCCAAGAGAGTGGCACAAATGAAAAGGACTGAAAGACACCAGTGCTGGCAAGGATGTTGGAAACTGGGCGGTCTCATAAGCTGATGATGGACGCGTGATTGGAGCACAGAAAGGAACCTGGGAGTGTGTACTGAAATTTATAAAGTACATGCGTATGTTGACCAAATAACACCACTTCTAGAGAATGAGCCTTCAGAAATACAAGCATCAGGATGTAAGGGTATTTTTTTCAGATGTTCTTTGCACCGTTGTTTGTAAAGTGGAAAAAAACAACAACCCACTTACATATACATTCTGAGCTTCTATCAATATGGGGATTCCTTTTTTCATTTTAATTTCTTTTATTTCATTACTTTTGAGCATATTCATTTTCTTATTCCCAATCACTGTTTAAATTTATTTGTATATTAATTGATATATATATATACCAAATATGCATAACACATATACGTAAGTTATTAACTCACCCCCCCCAACTTAGGAACGAGAACATAATCCATGCTCACAAAATTCTTAAATGATTGTACATCCATATTATGTACATAATACATACATACGTATGATGGAATATCATTCAGCTAAAACACAGTAAGTTAAAATCAGTTAACGCCATTCATGTCAAACTGGATAGTTTCTTATGGTTTATATTGTTAAGGGGGGAGAAAAAAGCAAAGTAAAGCAAATAATATAACATTTCTGTTAAAGAAAAGGAAATCTATGCATATTTTTGTGTGCTACGGTTTGCAAAGACAGAAAAATATGTGAAAACCCACAACCTGAATACTGGCTACTTCTGGGAATGAGATGCACAGAGAGAGAGCTTCCAGGTTCCTCTGAGGAAATGTCCTCTGAACTGAGATCTGCAGACCTACATGTCAGTTAAGTGTGCTGCAGGGGTCGGCAAACTTCTGAGACGGAACGCACCCAAAGAGCCACATATGGCTCGCGAGCTGCAGTTTGCTGACCCCTGGTGTGGTGGAAGGTGCTGGGGAGGGTGTTCCGGGCAGAGGGAACAGCACGGACAAAAGGGGTGGCAGATGAGGGTAAAGGGGGATTAAATAGATGGTGATGAAAGGAGAACTGACTCTGGGTGGTGAACACACAATGTGACACATAGGTGATGTATTACAGAATTCTACACCTGAAATCTACGTAACTTTCCTAACCACGGTCACCTCAATAAACTTTAAAAAAAAAAAAAAGCCATGAAGTTGGAGGGAACGCCTCATTGTCACAAACTGAAAGGACATTCCCTGGCCTCTAGCCATTCACAGCTGGAGAGCAGAGGATGAGGGACGTGGGACGGGGTTGGGCTGCAGAGGCTGGCAGGACCCAGGAGGCCTTGTTAAGCGTTTCCGTCTCCATGCTGAGCACAATGGGATGGACGGAGAGCAGGAGGCAAGAGTGAAATGGAGACCGGAGTCTACATGACATAAGTATGGCTCATTTTCAGGCAGGAAATACGGGTTCTCTCCAACTGGATGAAGCACGTGTGCAGATCCAAATAAACACGGCAGGGGTGTAAGACCCCCGCACACACACCCATTTCCCAGCTGCTAAAAGCTCATAGCTGCTCCTAGTATCCAGAGAACTGCCTTCTAAGCTGATAGGAGCCACCACCCAAGGCTCAAGGTGCGTAGTGGACCTCACCCTCACCACCTGAGTTGGTTGGCAACCCATGTCCGGCTGACACTATCATACAAAGATCAGCCCCCTTGACGCAAGGTGGGGACAGCTTGTGGAGTGATGGATACCACAGAGCTCCTATGGATCGGGACAAGTGTAGGGCAGGGGTTGGCAACTTGTTCTATAAAGGGCCAGGTTGTAAGCAGTTGAGGCTTTGCAGCTACTCAACTTTGCCTTGCAGCAAGGACATATGTAAATAATGGGTGTGGCTGTGTGCCAATAAAGCTTTATTTACAAAAACAGGTGGCAGCTGGATTTGGTCCAGGGGCCGTGGTTTTTCAGACCCTGGCCTAGACTTTATCTGGGACTGAGATTCTTGTGTGTGGCTCCTTTATCTTTTGTATTTTGTTTTCCTTATAGCCTTAGAGGCGTGCGTGCGTGCGTGCGTGCGTGCACGTGTGTGTGTGTGTGTTACCTGAAGGGCACTCCCTCAAGTCTCATACACTTGAAGCCCTCTCTTAAATTGCTTCTAGACAATTCAACCCATGACATGCATACAGTATGTTGGGCTTTAGAAACCAATAAACCCAAATGGAAAGACTGCACAGCTGGGACCCAGAGATAAGGAGAGTATTTTTATCATGCACATACAGGGGCCATCACACAAGCCCAACTGTCTAATGGAAATGCTGCCAAACACAAGCCAAGTAAGCCAGCCTGTGGCCAGCATCTGAGGAGGCAGGAGCACCCTTCTGCCATGATGGCTTTCTGGCTACGGTTCAGCCGGGGCAGAGGAGGCCGAAGACTAGTGAAGTGATGGTGGGACAGGTATGGCATAAGGTACAGCTTTCGCTGTAGCCTGGACTCCAAGATCCTCGGACATTTTCCTCTCCAGAGGAGCCTTCTGGGGAGGTCTGTGTGCTTCCTCTGGACTTGTCAGGCCAGACAGGCTTTGTGCCCAAATGTCACGCCAGTTGGAAGCGGATTACACCAAGTTCTCATTGTTTGCTGTTCTATGGTTTTTGTTTTGTTTTGTTTTTCTCATGACATATTTTTCTAGTGGACGGTTACTGTTTTGTGTGTTCAGAACCATCTTCCTTTGGCACACTATTTCACCGCCTTTTGAGTCAGAGGGTGAGCTGCCACTCATGGTAACTGTCTTAGTTCGGGTTTCCCCAGAATATGTCCCTGAGAGAGGGACTCATGTGCAAGGAAAATTGGGAGGCGATCTCAGGACATACTGGTCAGAAAAGGGGGTGCAGGAGTAGGACAGGGAGGAGAAAGAAGCAGAGAGTGCAGCGTCAAGCAAGGGGCAACCGGGGTGAGGTGGAGCTTAATCCCTCTTTGGAATTCTGGCGTGTTGGTGTTAAATGTTTGTTGCAGAATTCTGTTACCCAAGAGGAAAGGGAGCCCCTTCGTATTCGTACGCCAACTCCCATTAGTCACTGGTTGAGGGCTGGGAGACAGTCATTCCTTGGCGCTCGCAACTTGCCATGTTAATGGGCGCAGTGAGCTCTGGTGGCGAGAGAAACTTACTCAGTGATCGAAGAGCTGGCAGTTAGAAAGGCCTGCACCTCACCCTTCTGACTACAGAAGTGAGCACGTGGCCCGAATCAGACCAATCACAGCTCCTCCTTCTCACAGTGATTGGGCCAGAAGTGAGCACATGGTATAGACTGGGCCAATCAGAGTGCCTCCCTGCATTTTTCTACGGGGAACCTTGGAAGTCAAGGAAGCAGGAAGTCATAAATTCAAGTGAGTTTGACTCTACCTTGTGGACAAAACCTGTCTTCACTGTGAAGGAATAAAGACAACAGGACAGAAGCAGAGGAGAGAGAGAAGCCGCTTCCTAAATAAGCTAGTATGCTTTGAAATCACTGTCACTTTCAATGTAGACTTCCAACTGCTGCCGACAGTTGTCTGGAACTGACCAGAAGGGAGGCTGCCCATGGGGCACAGTCAGTGGGTGAAACAGCTTCACCCCTAAGTTTTCTATTGAGTTGTTGGAAAAGTCATGACATATTTTTTTCTCTGTTTTTCGTTGCAAAAATGAGTCACGACTTTTCCGACAGCCCAATACAAAGCTTCAGCAGATATTTCAAACAGCAAATTGCCTTAATAGTTCCTAGAGAACACCCAAGGCTATGTCTAAGCTAATTAATGTCTTAATGAGAGGTCTTCTCCCCCACCGCCCCCACCCCGGAAATGGATCTCAAACACTAGCCTGTCCGGTTACAGAGTTGACACCCCCAAGCCCATCATCCAGCAGGAGCCCTTTCTCCCATCTCTTTTCGCCCTCAGGCCCAGATCCCACCCACTTGGCTCCAATCCTGTTTCCAGGCCTGCCAGGGGAAACGCTAAACACTTCATTAAAGGAAAAAAAAAAATTGTAGAGCTGATCCTCACCGCTTGGGACAGCCTTTTATACGATTAAACAGAATATTTAATATTCCACTCCATAGTATTTGCTTTGGGGTGATTTTTCCCTCGTCCTGAGCTTCCTCAAGGGCAGCGAGTAGTCACTTAATGTAAATGGGCGTGACGGAGATGGGACACCAAAGCGCTCCGCACAAGAGAGGAACCACGGCTGCCCCAAAGCGCCCGCGTTCCCATTCAGAGCCACAGGAAGCAAATTCCTGGCAGTTTTAGATAGCCATTTCGTGCTAGCTTCCAGGCACTGAGTGTTCAGAAATATTGAAATCCAGTCTCAGGGCCGCAATGAAGAATTATTAAACAGACATTTGGGACTGGTTTTTTTTTTTTAATGTTATTTTCATTTTACTGAATAGGAAGATGGACCAGCCCTGGCAACCCCGCTTCTCTGAGTGTTCCACAGATATATCCAGCTAAGGAGGAGAAACAAAAGTGCAACAGGGAGGTTAGCCCAAGTCGGCATCCAAGAAACATAGAATAATAGGGTGAGTGGCAATAATTGGCAAATCCTGTTTTTGCCAGTTGAGATAACAAATGTAAAGATAGATAGATTTGAATATATATATATATATATATATATGTATGTGTGTGTC